TCTCTCCACTCTTATTGAATTTTATCATAGATATTCTTATGGAGGTTTCTCTCTTGTCACTTGATTACACAGACGTTGACCTAATCAGTGGAGAATTTTCGTTAGACCTAGAATATGCAGTTGACATAGTCCTGTTAGATGAAGAGGCTGACAAGATGCAGTCATCCGAACACATTGAAGGTGGAAGACATGAGAAGGCTTCAGGTGTTTGCACACTGACTTCCTATTTGAGGACGAGTATACTGTGCTGCTGTTCGCTCTTTCTTCATATTCGACTGTGAAACGTGGCGGTTTAAAGCAGAAGACATGACTAGATTTTAGGTTGTTGACCAAAGTTGTCTTAGCGTTTCTCAAATATGGTGGAATTTCCGTGTGAGCAATGTCATGGTTAAGCGAGGGGTACTCGACAAGGTAAGTAAAGTCACTCGATGGGCTTGTGAACCTGCATCAACTGAGGTGGTTCGGATATATTGAGAGTGCCGAGTCACCTTCTGTACTTCAGTGTTCAATTTTATGTCGAAGTAGAATTGGGTTAGAAGAAAAATAAGGTTTGCCAGACCAAGACGTGGCACCAGTCGATGAGGTCTGCGGCCGCTGTTCTTATGTGTGTAGGGTGATCTAGACTTTGAATGAGGCACTGGAGGTGATATGAATGAACATGATTTCCTTCTCCTCCCATACGCCGTTGTCTACTTTGATATCACTGTCGTTCTATCTACTTATTCTCTGCATACTTCCGTGGAGTGTTGCAACTTGAACCGACGCACTTTGTGAGGAACGTCTTAGGTCGTTTCATCTTATTAGTGTAAACACTGGTTTTTGAACCATCATTTTACAGATCTAAAGTCTTGGGAGCCAGGCAGTATCGCTAGCCTTCATACAATTAACGTGGTTGATTACCTACAGCATGAACATGTACATAGTAGCTGAGTTGCATTTCTATTCATTTCTATCTCATATCAGCGTATCAATATGAATGATAGAAAAAGAAAGAATCATATAATTTACAAAAGTGGGATTTTTTTATAGTGCAGGAGAAGAGCTGTAACAAGAAAACGCGATATGACTATTAAGGTGTAGATAATGTATAGATATGGCATCTGTACCACTAAGATCGATTATCAACTATATCAAACTAAGTCACCGACCACCGGTTTCGGTTATTGCTTGGACCTTAACTTGAAAGCCAACATTCCCCTACACCGGTTTAAAACCTCATTAGCTGACTTATAGGATTGGAATTGAAGTACAATCACCAACCACGTGCGCGCTCGTGCACTAGGCACTGTGAGAGATAGTTATACTACATCGCTGCCCAAACCCTGGGTGAGTGGAGTGGGGTTCGGACTCGCAACCTGTCGACTGAAGATCAAGTGTTTGTGTCAATGAGCCATAGCTCCTCTGGCTTAACCCTTTCACTTATAGTTGTACATGTGGTTGCTACGTTACTAACGTGATGATTTCAGGAGGTTCGATCTATACTACGCATTTAAAGGTGTTTGAGCATGCAAAACCTCCTTCCTTTACCATCAATCACCATGTGTCTTAACCATGTTGTAGAATACAGAAAATTTTAGGGGAGTTTGATCTGCCCTTAATTGGTAACCGGATATCACTCCTGCATCACAGATGGTGTAAATTATCGAATGACAGTTCAGCCTTTTGTATCTGTGCAGAGATTTTGTCAGTCACTTACACCTGCGTGCTAGGGCTAATCCATTTTTCGTAATAAGTGAAATTGGTTTACATGACAAACCACTTAGCTTCTTAGACCAGTCCTGGGACAGTAATTTGAATTTGGGTGGCGAGAAGCGCGTTACAGCTATCTTCAAAATGCCTCTCAATGTGCTCAAAAGACTTAATCTCGTATCAACATCAGTTCGGTTAGGTTTAAAAACAGTAAAGGATGGTTAGATTAATTATATGCCGTCAATGAATGAAGTTCCTAATTACTGGTCTAGACTATGTAGGGAAATGTAGTCCTTTTGATTGGGTATTCATAAACTTACCGAAAATGATAGTTGTAGGTTCTAGGTCATGTATTTCGAAACAGCTGTCAGCTTTAGACACGTTTACACCTTATCTGATAATCAATGAACCTTTGCCTACCTTATTCTTTTTTTCTTTACATAACGTTTTGCGGCTGTTGAATATACTATTTTCATTCATTTATCGCTCATCATGTCCCTTCCGTTTTTGGTAAGCTGCTATCAGACATAACAAGGTGAACTTTTACACAGTGATGTCAAGTACCATGTCTATATTACCTGAGCAAATTGACTAATGTTTACTTTGCTGGCAATTATACTCATGTGGAACAGCTGCACCCCACACGGTAATATACAGTACTATAATGTACTAGAAAGTAGAAGTACATGCTTTTTATTCAGCCATTGAAAGAGATTATTTTGTAGTTAGGCTTTAATTTAACGATGCTGATATATCAAGGTATTGGGGTTGTGAATTTCGTGTTTCATAAGTCAGTCGGTTGTTATCCCATCAACACAAAAACTTTAATTATTCAGGTTACACTTTATAGATGACTTTGAAAGAAGACTCTTGTGGAGCAAGGTGACCATAGTTAACTGCATGAGATATATCAAAGTGTGTGGTAGGCGTGTGTTATCATTGAACGTCATATCACTTCACAAGTGTTCCTTTAACGGAAACAATCTGCTTTCAATGTGATTACATTGTCATCAATAACTAAAACTTGGGCACTGTGGTCGATTGTTATTCAATTTTAGTCTGTTTATTAGAAATATCACACAGTGAAACAGTATCATTTACTGGATAACGTTTCGGACACACTTTGTTGTCCACATTCATATCAGGTAACTCCAGTACTTCAAGACAGAGTATAAACTCTGCTTCATGGGCAGTATGGAGAACAATAAACTACGACCAATGATCGACAAGTCCCATCTATATAAAGATAAATGGATGACACTCATCATCTGCGAGGATAGCAACTTTGATTGAAGAAATACTACGTAATCCAATTAAATTTACGGTGGAAACTGAAAATGTCTCAGAATTCCACTTTCTATTGAGAAGTTAAGATGGTTTTCTAATAAGATCGATTTACTGAAAACAAACCTGGAATCCTCAATATACTCAATCTCAAAGCTGGGTGGGTCCCAACAGTCAAGAAAAGAAATGTAATTCATTCACTATGCACGCGAATTAGAAGAATTTGTACGGATGATGCAGTAAGTGAGGAGCTGGAAATACTTCGAAGAATGGTAATCGAGAATAGTTATACTTCAAGATCCACTGAACGGAACATTAGGCCTAGGAATTTTAAAGAAGGAACCCCTGCGGTTCCAAAAAAGAACACTGTTTATGAATATTGGATTCAAGGGAGATTATTGAAGAATCAACTATGCAAAGTACTGAAGAAGACTTTCTTTTCCTCCCCGCTTCAGATTGTTTTCTCCAGTCAACAATTAATTCGAGGGTGTGTAAAGGAAAAACTACCGGCTTTGGACCATTCCCATGTGTATTTACAAATTCACCAGCTCTTGTGGAGCTGGTAACATATATGCCTTACAAAGAGTGTTTTATTCGAAGACATCAACAGCTCAATTCTTAGCGTGAGTCAAGGTCATTTATAAAGTGAAGGTAAACATTTCGAAGAGAGCGTGTATTCGCCACCTCAACACAGCAAAGGCTTTGGCAATCCAGCAGTACACACCTGATCTTTGCCTTCAAAAGAGCAACATTCAGTCTCTAGTTTTATTCTTCCCCTCAAACAACTTATAATTAACGTTGTAGTATAATTATGGAACTGAAACAAGACTGACATAGGATCACTGCAGGCAATATTATCTCTCTCCTACTCTTCTGTCTCTGTTGAGATTTCCTATTTCTTCGTACCGCGTACTAATTGCAATACCATACCATTCAATTTGAAGGCCACTACTGTATATATTCTTGGATAAATGGAAGGTCTCAGTCTAACTGTTTGGTAGTATTACCGACTTGCGAGTTGAATAATTATATGCCACTTTCCATTACTTATTTCTACCTACTTTGGTTCTCAAAAACTTTACGATGATCTTCCCTGCGTTAAGCAAAGTAGGCTATAATATGACATTTGACTGTTGAAATTGTCAACAAGTCTTAGGTGTGTTTTAATATGTGTTACTATAGTGTCTTCATACTGTTTGATTAGCTACTTCCTGTGAGATTGAATTAATGTTTCAGCGGTACGCAGATGTATTATGTTGACTTTGTGAAGATTATTAATCGAAATGACTTGAGTTTTGTGTGAATAACTGTTACTTTGTTTCCACGTATATATGCCAGGCTTAGAAGGGACAACTCAGTTAATGTGGTCATGAACTTTCCCCGACCGAGATGTGACTGAAGCATTGGTTAATGTGCATGGTGAGCCATCATTACAGTCTGAGTAATAAAAAAGTTGGAAGGAAAGTAAAGTTGGCATGATATCAGTTTATATGACCCATGTAGAGAAGTGTAGCTTGCTGTTCAAAAGGCTAGTAAGCACCCATTTGAGACTATGGTATAACTCAAAGTGAATAGTAATGGTTACGATGTCTTCACTGCCTGTCTATCATTTTATTCATTTTTACTGATTTCTACTTTCTTATCTAATATTCGTCGTGTTTGTTGTAGGCTTTTCTTCTCTTTCTGTTCATCTACTCTTACTGTGACAACTTGAGTCTATCTACCTTTTTGTGTTAGGTGATGTATTATGTCAATCGGATACTGACCGCTATACACGCAACTCACTCTGCTGCCTTGTGCACATTCGTGCAATAGGCAGTCAGCCACACGTATTGTGTAAGGGCTAGTGTTACAACTAACTGGGTGCCCGAATCTCCGTAGGTGGAGCGGGGTTGTAACCCGTGGCTCACTAGTTGATAGTCATCTCTTTAAACCACTGAGCGACAGTTCTATCGACTATTCCATTTAAATATTGCCTATTTATTTATTCTTTAAAGGTATGTATTGCACCTTTCGTTTCATTTTAGATATGATCCGCATACAAATCAATGGTCATCAGATATAGCTTCAACTAGTACTTGTCGTACAAGTGTTGGTGTGGCTGTGTTAAATGGTTCAATGTATGCTGTTGGTGGGCAAGACGGTGTATCCTGTTTAAATTTTGTTGAATGCTATGATCCAAATGTAAATAAATGGCTTAAGGTAAATTCTTTTGAATATTGAAGAGAAAAGAAAATAACATTTTTCGTCATCACTCCATTCTCCTAACGTACATTTTTGTTCTCGGTCACGTGTTAACGTCAAATTGTGTAACTTTCAAGCAACCAGTCACGTTTGTGTATGGGGTGACTTTAAAGGCCACCATGGTAACGATCGAAATAACCAGTTAGGCTTCTTTATTTCGGCTGGAGAGTTAGATTTTCATAAAAGGAATAAGTCTAATTGGTTATTCCCATTGCTACTAGGGCTGTCTTCAAAGTCACTCGTATGTGTGTATGAAACAGGCCACTAGACGTATCTGTTGTTTGATGGTTGGCAATACTAAATTGCTGTCTAAACGCTTAGTGGTGAGTGAGGCGGGTTTGAAACTTACTCATTTGTTAAAATCTTCAGTTCGGAGAAGTCAAACAACTACTGAAATCCTCTACGTAAGCTACTCTTTCCCTCCACTATTTCAATATTGAGTTTCTAGTGCGTATCAAGTTAAACTGTGTGTTTTTTAAACTAGTAAATTTGGATACCTGCCCTAGTAGTACTCCAAGTCAATATCTCTTTCAACGTGTTATTTTAGACCGGCAATCCAGTAAACTCGGATTCTTTGTCCCTCCAAGATACTGAATGATATGGTAGGTAGTGAGTCAGCCTTAACTGTATTCGTAAGAAATCAGTGTATGTCTTAAGACAATTGGAAGTGAGTAAATATCACGATTCGTGATACGGCATAGCTTAAAATATAATCAATTCATTATCAGTCTCACTGACCATTATATAGTTATGGGGATAAGAGCCATCAGTAAGTCAGTCGGTTGTCGCAGTCTTATAAGCACTAATCTCGCGTTATAGTGTACTCATATGATACTAATAATCCCTTTATTTCAAATAGTATATTTGTGATTCTCTCAGCATGCAATACTGCGACAGTAATACATGAATAGTTGGAATATTGAAAAGACTTATTATTCACTGTTGCAAGGTTGATAATTAAGCTCTGATCTAACATTAATTTCATCACTTAAGATGCATGCCACAAAATACAGGATAAGTCACAGTTGAATTCTTGTATTTAGCCATACGAGCGTAAATTCTTACACAACGGCTTCTTGTCCTCCCTGAGGAAATACAAGGAGAAAGCTGTGAATAAAGAGAATGTTCAGTGTCCGATCTAATGACTCTAGCTGGTCGTCTGTTTGAATTCAAATATTTGTCAACCACAGAGTTAATTAGCCATGCTAAACGCACGCTTACCCTACGGACAGATTTCAAAGCCCTACATAATATAGATTAATTCTTTTTAGCGGACTAGAGAAGATTAACGGGGAACAATAAATGTAAAAGTAGAGGCCTAGTTATTCCAGAATGTAATATGTTAAACGAAAGATAATCTTTAAAGTCAGCAAGATACAACAAAGACCAGAGGAAAAAATCAACTTTTTACTTTCTACTGTAATACCATCAATATTACAAGAGCTCTTCTAATCGGTTATCATTTAATTATGATTTTACTATTTAAGATAGCCGTAGTTTAGCAGACTAGTATTTGTACCTTCAGTCATCACCCAGTATAAGTATCATTTAATCATCGCTTCATACAGTCTAGCAACAATTACTTGATGACATTGGGATCCAGTTGTATTGGTATAAATTACTACGGCCCATTACTAATCCTTACCGATAAGTAGTGATAAAAAAAAGTACGTAATAATTTTGGTACACAGTATAACTAAGTGTAGACGTTTTTTAATCAATTCATTTTACTGTCTAGCTGATATGATTTTTTATAGCTTCATGTTTGCGTGATCCTTTAATGTTATGTGAATGATTTGTATCCGTTTATGTTTATTAACGAAGGTATCCAGTATGACTACTCGACGTCTAGGCGTTGGTGTTGCAGTTCTAAATGGTCAGTTATATGCTGTTGGTGGTTCAGATGGTCAACAACCTCTTTCGTCAGTGGAACACTTCGATCCTCGTGTTGGAACATGGCATCAGATATCATGTATGGGTACTAAGCGTAAACACTTAGGAGTGGCGGTGTATAACGGTCTAATATACGCAGTAGGTGGAAGAGATGAAGCGACAGAATTATCGTCTGTCGAATGTTTGGATCTACGTACTCGTACTTGGACTCCAGTTGTAGCAATGACATCAAGGCGTAGTGGAGTGAGTAATGTTCATAAAAATTAATTAAACCCTGCTATAACGAATTTTTCTGTCATAAGCGTTTCTTTTGCTTATTAAACTGGACAATACATTTCGCCAGTTAAAAATGTTCCAAGTACAAAGCACATTTCTCAAGGAGGTATTTTTTTCAGACGCACTTTTTACTAACATATTTCAAAATGATTGCGCCCGACATAATCGAGTCCTCTTTCACTTCGATGGAACTCATGATATCGAACAAAATAAACTGAAGTGTACCACCAGTTGATTGAAGTTACTAAATCCAGGCCCAGTAGCCTGACCTAATGTCTGAAGGTCAACTTTACAGACTGATTGGATAAAGTCTTGTACAGAATTAGATCAGTGCAATGTAACGACATTTCACAACGATAGATATAAATGAGGTGAACACAATTGAAATGATGTTGAAATTAAAAAACAGGGTTGTGAGAAGGGACGGTTAATGAAATGTTCAGAATTTTGAGGGTGACAAGGAGTGGATACATCTGCGCCAATATAATGAATTTTTGACTATTTCATTGAGAGTCTTCAGTCACTGATTTCTAACACCTTGAAGAAAAAAAACTAAATAAGCTTATCTTTTTGATTGAAGTTTTAGACTAGTCGTCACTTGATGGCTTGGTTTATATATTTTTTTTCTGCCGTAGCTCTGCATCAATAAACATTGCTTGATTAGGTAGATGTTGCTTTAGAATGCGTCACATATATCTCAGTTATAACGCACTCTCATCTCATATAGGTAACGACGTATTCTTGACATATGCTTACAACTATTTTGATCACTACCACTCATTGGAAATATCTCAGTTTCTGTAATTGGCAATAATAGAAGTGTTTACCCGATAAATTGTTTTACTTGCAATGTTTTCGAAACGAATCTGGTGGCAATAATAAATGTATAACAAATGTCGCCATAACTCCACATAAGTCGATAAAACCAACTGGAACTGAAGTGCATGAGGTATCTTTACCTTTTGGTCTTTTACGCAATCAAAAAATCTTTAAAGCAGACATTATCACCGTTCCTATTTAACTTTGTCATAGACGTACTAATGGACATAAGCCTAGGTATGTCTAACTTCACAGGGGTTGATTTACTCCCTTGAGGCCCTCTAGCTGACTCCTAGTATGGAGACGACATTGTCCTGCTGAGTGAACACGCTTATGAACTTCATCGTCTTCTGAATGCATGGAGTATAAATCTGAGTATGTTTGGCATACGTTTCGCACCTGTCAAATGTAAAGCGATACTCCACAACTGGTCTGCTGCAAGTACTCCTGGTTTAATGATTGGGAGTGAAGTGGTGGGATGTGTCGACCTTTTTGCTTACTTGGGAAGTTGCATCAACCCGAACAGGCTGGTTGCTGATGAAATGTCAACTCGGATATAAAAGGCCCATTTGGCATATGCTAACTTGCATCATATGTGGTACCGACTGGCGAGATACCCGACTGTCTATCAAACGACGAGTATTCTGCCGCTGCATATTGTTCTGTCCTATTAATATGCCTATAAGGCATGGCTGTTGAAAATAGAAGACGTAAAGCGATTGTAGGGTTTTAATCATAGGTGTTTTCGTAGCATTGCTTGCATTTGGTGGAATGACCATGTGAGCAATGTTGAGGTTAGGAGAATAGTACTGGGCAAGACAATCAGGTCGATTGTTGAGGTTGTGAACCTTAGTAGACTGCGATGGCTGGGACGTGTGTAGCGCATGCCAAGTCACCGCCACCTACCTCAACATGCCATGGTAGTTGAAGTTGTGTTAGATGGGAAGAAGGTTTAGGGTGGTTAAACCAAGACATGGCATGAGTACATGAAGTTCCTGACTATTTATCTAAACCTGGTTGGTGTCCCCGAGACGAAAGCAAATCATTGGTTAAGGAATTTTGGTGAAAATTGGTCTCATTGGCTCAACTGTATTCACTCCTTGACATCTTCTAAAGCTTGAATATTTGCATTAACTTTCATCTTTAAATTATTTTCTCTCTCATACAACTTTATCTATTTTGATATTACTCTTTTCTACCCACCCGTTCCTTGTATGGTACTATGAAATATGGCAACTTGAGCCGATGCACTTGTATGCGAAGTTGTGCGTTGTTTTTGTCTGTCTGTCTGAAGCAGAGAAATTCATCAATACATTAAGGTTAAACAAGAATTCAACAAAAGCCGTAACGATAAACACTACACCGAAGATGGTAAAAGATGATTCACTTTTGTAATTTCCTCGGCTAAGAAATTAATATGAAGCCTTTATTATTTTATTATTGGTTTTTCCCAATGAGTGCAAAATAAATTACCAAACAGCATGATAGATATAACCATAAGCAATATTTTCTGAAGCTCTTGTGCGCAGTTTTTTACATGGTTATTGTCAATAATTAAGTTGTTAGAGACCACTCACACTGACCAACTTCGTGGTCACCAAACCCTTGTTTCACTTGTTTGCCGCCAAGCTGTCATCATCGAACTCATGAGGGGAAAAAGTTTTTAGATCACTCTAATCTCTGCCTACGTAAATCTTCAGATCAGCGTGAAGGATTTCTAACTGCTCATCTTACTGTCGGCACTATGTTTCGTTTGCTGATGGCTATTTTATGTCAAATATCGCACTTTCTGATAAATGGTTAAGTAAGCGGTTTCCAACAGAAACAGTTGGATAGTTGAAAAACTATTCAGCTGTGAAAAATACCAACGCAAACGGTGTCATTTGTCAATAATTTATGAATTGATCATCATCATACTTTAAGAGGAGTATAATGGTCCATCCCATTCAGCTAACTAGATTCAGTTGATCTGAACATTTTGACTGTGACCTCATACACAGCCCTAGACCAGTGAAACAACTGTTCCAGTCACTGTGATCTGATTAGTTTCAGTAGTTGCCAACTACTCACATTATGCAATAGTAGATTTCCTTCAGATGGCAGTTTACTACTTTTATGAACAAAGCATTGGACGAACTTCCTGCATGTTGTCGTAACCACTAGGAATCCACTGTACATTTCATTCATCTTATGTTTTTTCTAAGTGATAGTTATATAACATATATTTACCTGAAGTCAGATTTGTTTTGAACTTTTAATTATCATATTTTGGTGAGTTTAGTGCTTGTTCAAAACTACCATTTCTAATTTGTATATATTCTTTATTTTATTTCAAAAAAATAGGTTGGCCTAGCCGTAGTGAATAATCAACTGATTGCTATTGGTGGATTCGATGGGGCAACATATTTAAAATCTGTTGAACTGTACGACCCGGATGCAAATTGTTGGTCTGTACGTGGTAGTATGAATTCTAGACGTTTAGGCGGTGGTGTTGGTGTTGTGCGACTAGCTAATCCGTATATCAGTTTGAACAGTACGTCATTCATCAATACTAATAATAATAATAACAATTGTGGTGTTTCAGGCTGTATCTCTAGTTCTACTACTAATACCAATGTGACAAGTAGTAATAACAGCATTATAAATGATGATTCGCTTGGTCTTTCTATGACTGACTCAATATTCCCACCAGGTTTACCAGTTTCCACAACTACTGGTTGTCCTCACGGCGTGAACAACAACGCCAGTGCTAGTAATGATAACACTAATAATAATAATAATAGCAGTATCAGTAATGCAGCTTGCCAAATCATGCCTAGGAACCTTACCAACTCAACAGTTATCTCCACAATGAATGGTAGTAGTATTAGTAGTAATGGTGGTCCAACGGCAACATCAATGTCCGGCCAAATAAATGTTTCGAGTACCAGATCGAATAGTACATTTTATTTTAAAATTGATGAAGCTACAGGACAATAACAGGTTAATGAAAACAGCTCTTTACTTCAACCCTTTCTATTACAACAACCGCACGAGCTTTGGCGATTTCTTCGTGTAAATTACTTGTATGTATTTCATCATCCACCATATAAACTATGCTACTATTCTCTTATGAGTTATATTATTCTTTGTGATTGTACATGGAATTGCCCTCACTCCTCTATCTCTTTTGTAAAAGCATACTTTTACTCTATCCGTAAATAGCATATCTGTTGATTTGTTTGTTTTTTCTTCTGGTCATGTAGCGTATAATTAATGTATGCGTATATGCTTGCGCTGCTGTCTGTTGCGCATTTCATTCTTTTTCTTTTCAATACTTTTGTTACTTATGAGTAGCTTAGAAATGTTCGGGAAAAATATTTGTCTATGCAATTTTTCATCGTTATTTGTTTGCCATAGGATGAAATATGAACTAATGTTGTATGAAATAAATTGAATTTCAAATCATATGTATGTTCTCCACGATTGTTTTATATTTATACAGTTGTACTTGTCAATGATGGATGTTTATTGTTTTATTGATACTTGGGATTCCCCGTTGCCATATTGGGTCGAATTGTTCGACCTAGGACGAAATGTGCGTCCTGGATTCCACTGCTAGCCTCCTCCAAGTAGGATGCATTATGGTGGTTGTTTTTGTTTGACTGGTGTGTGAAAATTTTCCTGTCATCCTGTCTGCTTAAAGCCTTGTTTGATGACACGTCACCATGATGAGAATCGTAACAAGAAAAATACTTTACGAAAAGGGCTTTAAATGTGCAGAGTTGCAAGGAGTCCAGCTACTAAAAAGACTCAAGGACTGATTTAGACTGGTTAAGTTGCACTATCTTTGTGCATATTGGTGTACAGATACTAACTTGTGATAGGGTTAATCTTGAGGTTTTCGAAAATTATCTTTTTAAGTATGCAACCTAAAGTTGCTAAAGTGGTAAGTGACTAATCTGATGGAGAAATACTATAACACTTACATGTTATTGAATTTTGTGCTGTTCGCCCACGTGGTTGAAAAGGTTGTAAGTCGATCGACTTCCATGCCAATACACCAAGAAGTCTTCAGCCTCATATTTTCTCATTTCATAAATTTTAAAGCCATCTGTTCCACCCTACTTCGTTTCATGGCGTATCCTGAAAGACCTTATGGATAATACCAATATGGGATCTGGCATAACTGCGTAGCAGTTCAAGTTGTCACAGTTCATATAACCACATCAAGCGAGAATACATCAAAGTGAATGATGCAGAAATAAGGAACGAAGCAGTCAAGGCTCAGAAAAATCCATGAAAAGAGGAGGAATCAACGGATGACGAAGTCCAGTGGAAGATGATGTGTGAATACATCTATATCACTGAGATCGATTCTGAGCCATTCCACCCTGAAGGCTCCAATCACTGGTTTTTGTTTTCCCAACCATCTATTCTGTATCTCTTAAACTGGTTCAGATCAACGGTCAAAGACTTCATACAATGATGCCATGCTTTCGTCTGGTCACGTCTAACCGTTTTTCAGCCTGAACTTCAGCTAACATTGAACAATGTGCTAGATGGTGACTAGACATGGGTAACATGTGTCCAGACACCTTATCGATGAAGGTTCACAACCCATCAACTGACAAACCTCTTCTCTCCAAAACTCTACGCCTGACTTATGTATTACTGACCTGGTGACGCCAAGACACAGGCCCTATGCTACGAAGGCAGCGGTGGTCAGACACCAGGAGCCTTCTCATATTCCCATACCATTAATGTCCACATTTCACAGTCATAGAGAAAAATAGGGGGAACTGCATCATAGTAGAATTGGTCCTTAATAGGCAGTCAGATATCACAGCGTCTCCGCAGATGGGATAAGTTGGTTTCAGCCCATCGAGCCTTTTTTTATCCGTGCAGAGATTTTGTCGGTCACTCACCCGACTTTCCAGATAGCTGAGGTGGTCAACGCACGCAACTACTTCACTCCACATTGTTGGACACGGCAAAAACACCTACCAGTTCTGAAGTAACAAGTTTTGTTCGGGTGGCGAGAAACACATCCTAAATATTCTGAGATTGCCACTCACGGTTTCCTGAAGACTGCATCTTGTCAACGTCTTGACCTATTAGCACTGACTGTATCATCCGCTCACTCTAAATCTACCAAGGATTCTCCTGTGATTTGGTTGATCCCTGTGAAGTGAGACGATGAGAGACAGGTCTCTTTAAGTTCGTCTACGATTTAGTTGAGTAAGGATGAATGTCCTTGACGAACACCACTTAGCGTACAGAACTCACCGTAGGCTCTAACATGCCCACAGCTTCTCGAGTAGAGAGCCTTCGACAGCGCAATATGCTTTCTGAGCGCCTCCTTCAGTGAGAGATACTGCTACAAGACCTCTCGATCGACGGAGCCGAATTTCGTCTACAGGTAAAGATACAAAGGCATTATCGGGTGTCGGTAAATGTAGCTGTGTTTCATAACTTAACAGGGTGTGAATATCTTGTCAATACACCCACAACCAAATCTGAAGCCTTCTTGGTTTTCTGGTGTTTACTGTTCCTGAGCTCCACTCAGATGTCTAATGATTATAGAGCCTAGAGTCTTAGACATCGTGTTCATCAAGCTGATTCCTCGACGGTTATCCCAAGAAGACTTCCTGCCTTTTTTGAAGACAGACAATCAATGATTGAGACCAATCCTAGGAATTCATATATGACTCTCATACACTGGTTGACCTGGCTGATAATCTGCGACTACCGTCCTTAAATTCCTCTTATACTTGCCAATCTAGCCTTGATATCTACCCTTCATTTTCGGTTATTTACAGCTATTTCAACCTGTGCAATGTTCCACTTAGGATTCAGTTTTATACCGAACAGCAGAATAATTGATGGAGGTCAATTGAACTGTTCCTCGCAGTGGTCGGATGAGTGATGTCCTATTCCGATAACCATCTAGCCAGTTGCTCAAAGAAAATAGCCTTAGCACTTTCATTGTTGGATTGGGGTCTTAATGACCTTATAACGCGGTTTTCTTATGTTTATTAAGGCACATGCATACGCGTTACTGCTTTCAAAACGTGTTCCAGGAGGAGGGACAGTCTCCCCCTACTCTCCCAGCGAAAACTGATGACGATATCTGTTTGTATCCACCGGTGATTTGTGGTCAGTGGACGCCATAACAGACAATGCCTCTCTTTACGTAAGAAATTCTTGCTTAGTGGAAAAAATGATTGTTTGAGTACAGCTCTAGCAGGGGATCACTGTTATCTGTTCGTTCTGCTGAGATTCCGAAAGTGCCACTTACTTGCTATCTAGATAACTTATTAGTGCGCCTACTTGACTGTTGGAATCACGTGCTACGACAGTCACGTCTGAAACTTTGACTTTCGGTAAGAGGCTGGATAGTTTTTGGTGGGACTTGACCGATAACTCCTAGCTTGACGTAGTGGTCGGACTTGCATATCCAAATAACCTATGCTAGTGGAAAACGTGTTCCTTCGAGGTCCAAACATACCAGGAAAGTCTGTTGGATAGTGGTTAAACAAAAATCAGTTACGGTTGTAATGTAAATCCCTATGCTACGATGGGTCGGTGAGAATCAGACACGACCCCTCGAATTGGTCTCAATCATTGATTGTCTGTCTTCAAAAAAGGCAGGAAGTCTTCTTGGGATAACCGTCGAGGAATCAGCTTGATGAACACGATGTCTAAGACTCTAGGCTCTATAATCATTAGACATCTGAGTGGAGCTCAGGAACAGTAAACACCAGAAAACCAAGAAGGCTTCAGATTTGGTTGTGGGTGTATTGACAAGATATTCACACCCTGTTAAGTTATGAAACACAGCTACATTTACCGACACCCGATAATGCCTTTGTATCTTTACCTGTAGACGAAATTCGGCTCCGTCGATCGAGAGGTCTTGTAGCAGTGTCTATTTGACCATTAGACAAATGACTAACAGCATTCTTAATGATTACCAGCAGTGGTGATTGGTGGAAGACAAAATCAACAAAAAACCCTACACACAATTTCATTTTCTCAAGCTGCCGCACTTGACAGTAGCATAAAAGGAAGAGGTGGACAAAAAGTGGACAAAGTTGTGTGAGAGAATAAACAATTTAAAGATGAAGATTAGTGGAAATATTCAAGCTTTTGGTGTCAAGGAGGTAATACATTAGCTCAATTGTGACCAATTTCTAGTCCTCCACCACTGACTCATTTCGTTCCCGGGACCCCAACCAGGCAGTCTGCATGTCTTTACATGACTCAGACCAACAGTCACAGATTTCACCGACTAATAACACGTCTTGCTCCGGCCACTCTAAACCCTCTTCCAATCTAATCCAACATCCCGTAGCGTAGCACGTCGAGGTAGGCACCAGTGGCTCGGCATACAAAACACGTCAGCCGATGGAGATTCAAAACTCCATCAATTGATTTGACTACCTTGCCTAGTGCCATTCGCGTGACTTCATCTTGGCTTAGACAGTGATTCCAACAACCATAAGCGAACCTACGAAGATACGTGTGATCAAAACCCTGTAACCGCCTCATGTCTTTTAATTTCAACAGATATCTCAGCTTTATGACAGGACAGAACAAACTGCAGAGAAGTCTACTCGTCCTTTTATAGGTGGTCGTATATCTCGCCAATTGACGCCATAGATTAACCAAGCTGGCATATCCTAAACAGGCCTCCTGTACTCGAGCTGAGATTTCGGCATAACCAGCCAGTCGGAGCTACTGTAACTCTCCAAGTAAGTGTAGTGGTCGACACATCCCACCACTTCACTCCCAATCATTAAACTGAGAGTGGTTGCAGCAGACCAGTTCTTGAGTATTATTTTATATTTGACAGGTGCGAAAATTATACCAAACATACTCAGATTTCTGCTCACCGCATCCAGAAGACCCTGCATTTTGTCTCCGTCTTCACTCAGCAAGAATATATCGTCTGCATACTCCAAGTCAACCAGGTGACATCCAAGGATTAGATTAATCTCTGTGAAATCAGACGTACGCAAGGTTATCTTCATTAGCATATCTGCAACGAAATTAGACAGAAACGGTGACAGTGGGTATTCCTAGTGCACACTACTAGTTGTCAACGACCTACGTGCCAACTCCTCGTAGGCTCTTATGTGAGTGTGTGAGTTCGAGTAGATAGTTCTGATTACCGCATTAAATTGTACGCTACTCCTTTCGCTGTCAGACTGCCACGACACCTCACTTTCGACAGAATTAAACACGGCCTTCAAGGTCAAAAAATACAGCAAGTGTCGTCCGCTAGCAGGTATGCCTGTTTTCCAGAACCTGTCGGAGGGCAAATATAGGGTCGATGTACCCTGCTCCAAATGTAAAATTATTATTATTATTTATCTATTACGTTCCTAGTGAAACATTAGGGCTTCAGCAACACGTCGCCATTGCACTCTCTTCTCTCCAGTCTTTTGAACCTGGCTCCACCACTACCCAGAATCTTTCATTTATTCCTCACATGATCTCCTCCATGTCACCC